GGAAACATGAGTTCTAGGGCTTCTCAGAGGAATGAGCAATACAGGTACACAATTTTCCAATTGATTCAGGTATTTATGAATTAAAGAGAAAATTCTGTAATATACTTTACTTTTTGGCTTAGCATTTTATATTTGAATATATCCTAATTGAAAAAGTGAAGGCTTTCTATTGTACTTTACAGAAGTTCTAGAAAAAAAGTTGAGATGTTACAGAGCAAGAAAATGATTTAGGTATTTGTTGCAAATATTCCTAGTCTTTTCTCTAGGAGCTCAGAGCCTTTTCTGTTTTATCAGAAATGTTCTATTTGTAGATTAGACTGAGATTTCTCCAAAGTCATGGATGGATGGGATTTAAACTGTAGTCACTATAACACAGCAATATTTACATCAATCATTAGGCTGTTGCATTCTTGCTTCCTACAGAGCCTCTCCAGTTCTCTTTAAAAATCTTGAATGTTGTTTGCGGCCTCTTAAATTGGTTTATATTCAGAGCTGTTGTAACTTCCATGTTGAGATAATATGGCTTCAAATAGCTTTACAAGAATTCATTTTCCTTCTCCCAATGGATCAGTTGCTACGCACCTCTTTTGGCATCCCATTTTCTTGCTTTTTTTTAAAGTGGCTTTTTTAGGATTAAGGATTAACTTGGCCATAAACTGTACAGGTATCTACATTCCTGGTCTTCCAGAGGGACAGGGGAAACTACTCTGCCAGATATTACTATCTCCAAGCAATCCAGTTTCTTGAGATAGAGGCAGCTGAAAGAGAAGATTTCCCTTGGAGGGAAATCTGTGGAATCTATCGTTGACAAAATCAGTGGAACATTAGTGCAACAATATCAAAGTTAGATGTTTCAATCCATATTGTCAATTGGATATGTGCATTAATTTGAAAGAAGGGATCTTATCCTCAAAAATAGATTGCAGTGAGAATTATAGAGATGTAAAAACTAAGACAGAGGGTGTCAATCTAGGACTTGAAGTCTGTCTGTCAGCCCAAATTAAATAGTCCATCATAATAAATTAAGGGGAAAAATCTTCTTTATCCCATTCTCATTCACTCCTGTATTACAATCTAAAAAATTAATTCCTCTTTTATGAAACTTGAATGCTTGGAGTGAGCTATAGTTGGGCAAACTGATATTAAATGAATATTAAGTTTTAGCTATAGATTTTCCAAGATTTGAAAAAAAATATTAGAACCATCTGCCAGTTAGTTAACTAATGTCCAGCTGGGAAGGTGGTATTAGGAATCAATATTAAAAGGTAAATAAAATTGCTGGATAAAATCAAATTAAATCCTAGTTGCATGTTTATATATAGATGCTACTTTTACTGGGACTTATTATGGGTATGTTTGTTTTGGAAACTCTTCATTCTGTCTTTGGCCAAACAGTAGAAATTTGAACAATTAGCATGAGAAGTGTTTGAACACAAAACAATACATTGGGGATTAGGTACGCATTAAACGATATTGCATATTTGCTTTTGTAGAATGTTTAATTATTTGATGGTAAACTCTACTGACATCTCAAGAGAAAAACCTGATCCTACTTTCCAGTTATAGAAATATTGGATATAAGATATTTTATGCTTTTTATGCTTTTCTCTTTTAAATAGAACCACCGCTGGGAAAATTCAAACATCTTTATATGGACTAATGGGATGCAGACTCTGTTTGTTTTCCAGAGATTAGGTAAGAATTAAGTTATATCAATTTCCCTTTGTGTCATGACTTCTGAACTTTTAAATGAAGATGGTGTAGTCAGCATTTTTCCTATGTAAATAGATGGGACAGCATATGAGAAATGTAGGAATTGTGTCAGATATCAGACATTAGATATGTATAGTCACCAGCCAATGATTCTTTTGAGTTTTCAGGCAAGCCTTTCCAAGCCCTCTATGAAGTTGCTGGAGTTGCATGCAAACCATATGCCCTTTCACAAATTTGTTAGTAAATACTTGTAGAGGGGTTTTGGAATATTCTTCCAAACTAGAAATCCCCTCCGGAACATGGTGACATTTTCCTTGACTGGAAGAAATTGGAGAGCCAGTTTGGCACAGTATTTAAAAGCACTGAAGTAAAATACTGGGAGACTGTGAGTTCTAGTCCTGATTTAGGTATAAAGCCATCTGGGCAAGTCTGAACCAGTCATTCTCCCTCAGCCCTAGGAAGAACATAGTGGCAAATCACTTCTGAAAAATGATTCCCAGAAAATTACATGGAGTTTTCCATAGTGTCATTGGGAATCAAGAATGACTTGAAGATACACAAAAAAGGGAAGGGGGGAATTGAGAACTTCAGTAACACAATTCTTTTTTTTTTATTGCAGTGGCTGTGCTATATTACTATTTCTACAAGAGAACAGCTGTTCATCTGGGGGATCCACGCTTCTATCAAGACTCTGTTTGGTTACGGAAAGAGTTTGCTCATGTCCGCAGTTGAGACTACTTCTGAATTAAATGGAGATGCTGGAATGTTAAAGAGACCTCAATCAGTATCCTGGGACAAGTTTTCTTCTCATTTTTTTAATAGTCTGGATATTAACTTTATATGATGATTTAATCCACAACACTATTCTTCTGTGGAGTCTCTATCACTACATAACTATCAAGCTTCCACTTATCCTCTCAGGTCTGCATACTGCACTTTCAGGAGCTGGTTGCAATTTTTTTGAGGAATACATGAAGTGCCAAATTGGTTTGGCTGAGAACTTTGAGGTAGCAATCCTGCAGTTTGTTTTTGTAAATATTCCCTCAGTCTGCTTGCTGCCTCTGATAAAAAGGTTCCCTTGTCTTTATTATGAGCAATGTGATTAGTTCCAAATCCTTACAGTAAGCAAAGGTATTCTCATTGACTTTTTTCTTTTGTACTTATTTTATAAGTTACGAGAAAATAAACCTGCCATTTTGCAATAACGATAGTGTGATTCGGGGTTTTTTTGGGGGGTAGGATCTCATAGTAACAGACGGCTCATGCAAAGTTAGGTTTTGAAGTAATATTCTATGTGTATATATTTATTTTGTTGTCCTTGAATCAATCTAATCTTGCATTATAATCAGAATCAGAGAAAGAAGCATATTTAACTTGGTTAACTGAATATGCAAAGCCATGATTTATTTAGCCTTGGTTATTTGCATAATATACTAAGCCAAAAATAAAGTGTATGTTATCTGAATACTAGTTCAACGTTTTTGAGTTGGACATAATTCAGATTAAGATAGCAAATCTTCATACATATTAAAACAAAAAATCCAAGAAGCTTTATATTTTAGAATTAGAGTATTAGAATCCTATGGAGGGTTATTACTAGGACAAGAAAGCCCATGGGGCAGCTTGATTCAATTAACAACCATGTTAACTAACAACTCAGTGATTCACTAAACTGAAAAATCGTAAAATGGAGCAAAAGTCACTTCACTGTCTCAGTTAGCAACAGAAATTTTGGGCTCAATTGTGGTTGTAAGTTGTAGTCTCTTCTATCTGTACTACTCTTTCTCCTCAGTCTTCTTCAGGTCAATCACTCCTAACACCTTCAATTTTTCTTCCTAAAGCTTTATTTCTAATCGCTGGAGGTTCCTTCTGTTGTCCTCTCTCATCCGTCCCTCTGAGGCCTTGGAGTGGAACAATGAAGATTGCAGCTTTTGACACCCCACCATTATGGTGCAAATACAACACACAATCCAGGAGTGCCCACCTTTGTAAAATAGAAGCAGAAAGACCCACCCACCCACAGCAGGCTTTGACAGGTGGCTGAATCTACTGTTCTAGCCCTCTCCTCCTTTCTGCCCCTTTAGGGAAAGTCCTTAGTGAGGGTTTTTCCTACTACCAACAAATGCTTAAACTGCCTTACAATAAACTGAAAGCAGCTATGCAGAGCATACTTCTACTGCTATCCTTTGTGCAGCCTCATAGACTGGAGGGTAGTAGCATTAAACTGCTCTAGGGATGGATGTCCCATGTGCTGCACAAACCCATGGTGGCTCCAATTGCCGACAGAAATGGGTGGAAGCAGCAGCTCATCAAAGCCCTTTGCTGCAACTTCCGTACAGTACAGGTAGTCCTCGACTTACGTCCGCCATTGAGCCCCAAATTTCTATTGCTAAGTGAGACAGATGTTAAGTGAATTTTGCCCCATTTTATGACCTTTCTTGCCACAGTTGTTAAGTGACTCTGACTTCCCCATTGACTTTGCTTGTCAGAATTTCACAAAAGGTGATCACATGACCCCGGAACACTGCAATCTCATAAATATGAGTCAGTTGTCAAGCTCCTGAATTTTGATCACGTGGCCTTGGGGATGCTGCAATGGTCCCAAGTGTGAAAAACAGTCATAAGTCACTTTTTTTCAGGGCCGTTGTAACTTTGAACGGTCACTAAACGAACTGTTGCAAGTCGAGGGCTACCTGTACCTACATTTAGAGAAAAACGGTGAGAAATTCAGGTGACGCAGCTCAGCTGATGAAAGGCAAGCTGCAAGCCCAGGCGCTATCCCAGGGGTAGGCAACCTTGGCTCTTTTATGACTCGTGGACTTCAACTCCCAGAATTCCTGAGCCAGCAAAGCTGGCTCAGGAATTCTGGGAGTTGAAGTCCACGAGTCATAAAAGAGCCAAGGTTGCCTACCCCTGCGCTATCCGATAAGCATTTGCGGCTCAAAGATATGCTGCGTACGGGAGAAAGCGCCTCTTTTCGTCCCCCTCAAGTTTTTGGGGAAAAGGGCAACGTGGCTTGCCGCCGAGACCCGGGCTACGACTTCAGCACTCGGCCTCTGCATTGCCTCGCTCCAGGACCGACCCGAGAGCGGGTAGGACTCCTTTGCAGCTCCGGCTGTTCAGCGCAGCCCCCTCGCCCTTCACACAGCCGACGGCGCCAGCCAAAACCCGCGCCTTTCTCTCTCTCTCTCTATGGGAGCTGGGAATCTGCCCCTTTGACTTCCGATCGGAAGTGGGGCCTTTTTTTTTTTTTTTTTTTTTTTTTGCGTAGCGGTGTCCATGGAGACGGAAGATGGCACCTCGGCGTAAGTGGAGGGCTCGGCGGGTGACAGGGTGCCGGTGCTGTTAGGAACGGCGAGGTCACGTGACGAACGAAGCGCGGGGGGGGGGAGAATGCGGTCTCTCGGCGCTTCCAGGTTCCGAGTTCGAAGGCTCCGGCCTCGGGCAGGGAGCGGTGCAGTCTCGGGGTGGGGGTGGGGGGCTCCTGCTGGGATCTGGTCCCGGGACTCCGGAGGCTGCCGTGGCAGGAGATACGGCACAGCGAAGGGAAGGGAAAGGAAGGGGAGCCTGCCGTAAAAGAGCCAGCCAATCCGGCATCCCCAAAACCTGGCGGGGTGCACCTCTCCTATTGGAGCATAACTTTGAGATGCCCCATTTAATCCCCTATTTCAAGGGAAACAGCCTTCTTTTTAACCCCGTCTTTCGGACGTCGCAATCGGGGTGATGGAAGGCTGGATTCTGAGACCCTGCAATTCGCAGTGGAACATCGGTTTTAATCTGCGTTTATCCCAACGGTCCACAGGTGATAAACTCACCTGTCAGGCGAAAAAAGTGTACTACAAGTGATAAAAAAAAAAAGTGTTTTATCACCTGTAAAAAAAAAATAAGTTTTCGAAATACTACTTTACCATGCATTAGATTTCGACATGTCAGATGAAAAAAAATGATGAATTGGTGGGGGTGGGGGCGAACAGGCGATAAAAATGGAAGCAGACCTGGCAACCCTAGTTTCGGTTTTTGTTTTTTTTTTATAAGAAATTTTATTTATTTTTTCAATCATAAAAAACAATCAAAGGTAAATACAATAACCATTTTTTTTTTTTATAAGAAATTTTCCTAGTTTCGGTTTGTAACTGTGAGCATTGTGCCTGTTAAAATAATACTGAAGTATTTGAACGTGGATCCGCTCTGAGTCAAATTGGCAAAGAAGAACAAGAATAGCTGCATCTACGTGGAGGGAAGTGTGTAGTGGGGTGCCCCAGGGCTCTGTTCTAGGCCCAGTGCTCTTCAACATCTTCATCAACGATCTGGACGAGGGGATAGATGGGGAACTCATCAAATTTGCAGATGACACCAAGCTGGCAGGAATAGCCAACACTCCAGAAGACAGGCTTAGGATACAGGAGGATTTGGGCAGACTTGAACACTGGGCGCTATCTAACAAAATGAAATTCAGTGGTGAAAAAAGTAAGGTTCTACATTTAGGCAAGAAAAACCAAATGTACAGGTATAGTATACATGGTACCTTGCTTAATAGTAGTAACTGTGAGAGGGACCTCGGAGTCCTAGTGGACAATCACTTAAATATGAGCCAGCAGTGTGCTGCAGCTGCCAAAAAGGCCAACACAGTGCTGGGCTGCATTAACAGAGGGATAGAATCAAGATCACGTGAAGTATTAACACCACTTTACAATGCCTTGGTAAGGCCACACTTGGAATACTGCATCCAGTTTTGGTCACCACAATGTAAAAAAGATGTTGAGACTCTAGAAAGAGTACAGAGAAGAGCAACAAAGATGCTGGAATTGGGTATGACTAGTTTAATGAAAAGAAGGACTAGGGGTGACATGATAGCAGTACTCCAATATCTCAGGGGCTGCCACAAAGAAGAGGGAGTCAAGCTATTCTCCAAAGCGCCTGAAGACAGGACAAGAAGCAATGGATGGAAACTAATCAAGGAGAAAAGCAACCTAGAACGAAGGAGAAACTTCCTGACAGAACAATTAACCAGTGGAACAACCTGCCTCCAGAAGCGGTGAATGCTCTAACACTGGAAGTTTTTAAGAAGAGACTGGACAGCCATTTGTCTGAAATGGTATAGGGTTTCCTGCCTGAGCAGAGGGTTGGACTAGATGACCTCCAAGGTCCCTTCCAACATTATTATTATTATTATTATTATTATTATTATTATTATTATTATTATTATTATTATTATTATTATTATTACTGCCTGGCAATAAGGCAAGAATAGAAAGGATTGGGCTGGTAGCAATTAGTCCTATTGCTTTGGAATCCCAGATCTGAAATACAGCAACCATTTGCACAAGTAGACGAGCAAGACAAAACATTTTGTGCCTTTTTCTAGCCGCACATACATCACAGTTCCTCTAGCAACTGGTGTCACTCTACATACAGACATTCATGAAATAATCTTTAGGAATATTAATTTAAGTTTATAACAGAANGTAGCAATTAGTCCTATTGCTTTGGAATCCCAGATCTGAAATACAGCAACCATTTGCACAAGTAGACGAGCAAGACAAAACATTTTGTGCCTTTTTCTAGCCGCACATACATCACAGTTCCTCTAGCAACTGGTGTCACTCTACATACAGACATTCATGAAATAATCTTTAGGAATATTAATTTAAGTTTATAACAGAATAGAGATTATTATCATTAGATTTGCGGTATACGAAACTATTCTTTTCGATGTAACATTAAGTTAAATCAATTTCTTTTTGAAAAAAGATGAAAACACAGATATATTAATATTTTGGTTGGACCCCCAGATCGTCAACTTTCCTCTACACCTCTGGAAATTCTACTGTTCCTCAATGGCTGGTATTATGCCACATACTTCTTGCTGGAGATTTTCATATTTGTCTATAAAGGTGAGTCTTTAAGTTAATGGGCACACTTAGGTTTCCTCTTTGCATAAACTCCTTTGTTCTTTTTTAGTATGTTACTTACCTGAAAAAAGTGAATCATAGAAAAGTGTGACTTTTTATTTCCTCATTAATTCTCTAACTTAACCTGTGATTGTAAAGAACTCTTCTTTGCAGAACCATTCTTTATAGTAGAATTATTGAAACCAGTGAAAAATTAGATAGATTTTGGATACCCCTTTCCAGAAGCCATCAGAGCTTCTCATCTGGCTCCATGTCCTCCTTTGGGATAATGCTCCCTGCTGCCATCATATGTCTTCCTGAAGGTACCTTACCTGGAAGCCTCCCCCCTAATCCTAATGCACAAAAAAAACCACCCAAAAACCAAAGAACTCCCAGAACCTGTGCAGCACTTCTGCTGATTAAAGCTCAAAAATCCAACAGTTAAAATGATTTTGCTGTTGTATATTTTCCTGGACATATAGTTTAGATGTGTGTGACAAGCGATTTCAGGCCTTCTTTTCCAATATTCAGATATATCATGAGTGCCAATATTTAGTAATGAAGGATATCAAATTACAGAGCAGATTATTGGAAAACAGTAGCTTATTTAAGAAACACTCAAAGAGCATTATATATATTTTACAAAACAAAATGTAATGCTCCTTGCTTTTTAAAAAAGAGGTGTTAACAAAATTCCTAGTTAAATGTGTTACCTACCCTATTTTAAGGTTCTGGAAACAGATATTCTCCAGTCTATCATTCCTGGGCTTCCCATATCCTGGAGATTTCGATAATTTAATTATTAAGGTTGGTGAGTAGATAGAACCTCAGCCCTTTTTTTTAGCCTTGGTCTACAGCGTCCATATATCTTGAAATTTTCCCATCTCCAGCAAAAAAAAGATATACTGGTATGTCTGCCTTCAAGTCAATGTTAATTCCTGGTGAGTACCTAGACTAGTTCTCACAATTTTGTTGGCAGTATTTTCAGACGTGGCTTGCAATTGCCTTTTTCCAAAGCCATGCCTTACAAAGCAGGAGGTTATCTGACTGTAGCATAGTGAATGCAGGCTGAGATTCACTGCCTCTCCTTTTACATTTGATCCTTATCAACATCAAACATTTCCCTTTTTTTTTTTGAAAACCTATAATAGATGGAAAGGGGTACCTTGCTTTCCTTTCAATTCATGTGGCCATTTGTGTATCTTCTCAGGTCTCTTGTTGCCTTATCCATCTGCTAATCTGGCTTTGGACTTGGTTATGCTTTTTCTCTATCTTGGAATTGAAGTCACAAGAATATTTTTTGGTAAGCATCAGAGGATACATAATGATACTTAGAGGAGTAGCACATGCATTTCTCATTTAAAAACGAGCTTCTTTGATGGCATTTAAACTTACTAGATGCTGTCCCATCCACACCTTCAGATTGTTCATCAGATTGTCAGTAAATGAAACCTGACTCCCTGGGCAGATATATAAATGCTAGCAGCATTTTATTACTGTATATTGTGCCCAGGCCTTCTTAATGTTCCTATTCAACTCCAATGGATGTTGATAGCAATGGACATCCCTTCTTTGTGTGGTTTAGATTACATTCTATAGTTTGGAAATAATTAGGAACCATGGGACAACTTGACATATGGGAATGAAATTGTAAGCTTTGGTCAGACTGCTCCTCTTGATCTGTGACCATATGAAATCATATTCTGAGAATTTGTAAAGCTCAGAATGCCATTCTTTCATTTTAGGAGGGATTATTTCTAATAGGTCATTTTTATGTCATGAGAATATATTAGGAGTGGGATGTGCAGAGCATAGTGCTATATATGCAAAACTTCAACACTTGTGTGCCACTCTCCTCTGTTGAACAAAGTCTGAAAGAGAGTCCTGTTTGTATTCAAATGAATATAAGTTGCAATATCTGAGGCATCACTGACCCAGATAAAATGAGGGGCAGAAAAAATTGTGAGGAGAGATTTAAATTCAAATTAACATGCATTGAAGTGCCTTCAAGTCCTGCTGCTCAATTTTTTTCTCTGGTGGGCTCTCGTATGAACATCTCAAAGGGTTTACTGGATGGTTTCTAACTTCTGCTGAATGGTCCATGTGTTTTGTGTCCCATATGTTATATCTGGCAGGCTCCAAAGGTAACCTTTGCCAGCGGAAAGTGCCACTTGCTGTCAGTCTGGCACTAACCTTTCCAGCAGCAGTGATGGCAGCCTATTATCTACTTCTGCAGACCTACGCCTTGCGTTTGGAGGCCATTTTGAATGCCATCTTACTTTTCTTCTATGCAGTTGAGCTGTTACTGGGCATTCTAACTTTAGCCTCCTTTTCCAGGTAATTTTCTTGTAAATCTGGGATTTATTGGGAAAGCCAGTTTGGTCTAGTGGTTAAGACACTGGGCTAGAAAACAAGAGAATGTGAAATCAAGTTCTGCCTAGGCCAGGCATGTCAAACTGCCGGCCCTCAGGCCGGATGCATCATGCCAAAACCATGCCCACCCCATTGCTGGCAATGGGGAAAAAGTCACGATACGTCGCATGACATCATGTGATGTGGCGAGTTTGACATGCCTGGCCTAGGCTATGAAAGTCATCTGGGTGACCTTGGGCCATGTACTTTCTCTCTCAGCCCAACTTATGTTATTTCCTTGTTTTATTTATTTATCCTTTCAGTTTGGATTCATATTGAGAATCTCTGTGGATTGCACTATGTGAAACACTTTGTGATTAAGGGAAATTGCATGAAACCATTTCCGTGCTTAGCCCAGAATGAAGTTGGCAAGCTGGTTTCTTGGAAAAGATGAAAGAAGATATAGTTCCAGTCTTGGTTCAGGCATGCTGAGGCGCTGTCCTGAGAGTAGAGTTGCCAGTCCTAGACTGGATGGCCTAAGCACGTCCTCATCATCATCATCCTCGTATCCCTCCTAGAGCATAACAATTGACCCACTTGGACTTGGAGGCATTGAAGACTGATTTTTGCAGGTCTCAAGACTGTGAATCCGTGAGCTTCAACCAGTGCATAGATTTTGCCTGCAAGTGCTGTACTCTTCAGATTCTTCAAATGGAAACATTCTGACACTGACTCAAGTCTTTACCATGTGTATGGTGACTCTTGTTAGGCTGCCTTTGTCAATTCTGTTTGTTACAGCCTGTGCCCTGCTCTTAAGAGGGATGTCCATTCCCTAGAAATCAGTATTGTTATTGTTGTGTATTGGCAATTTGTGATTGACACTTGATTTTTTTCTACAATACCCTTGACATAAATACTTATTTTTCAACTATTGTAATTATGTGATAGTTCTAAGTGATATAACCAATGAAAGATACACACACACACACACACACACACACACACACACGTGCTATAGCGGACGAGACTTTCAGTCGTGTGTTTAAGTTCAAGGAAAATTTTGATTTAACCAGGTTTATATGAAGGAATAGCCCCAACAATTTAATTTCATACCTTTCACACATGACTGGACAACTTTTTAGTTGCAGTTGTTGACGACATACTTCCCTTATTTTGCATTGGGGATGGGAGGAAACAGGGTTATAGTAATTAAAGGTAGTCCTTGACTTACGACCACAATTGAGCCCAAAATATCTGTTGCTAAGCGGGACAGTTGTTAAGTGAATTTTCCCCCATTTTATAACCTTTCTTGCCACAGCTGAAGTGAATCACTGCAGTTGTTAAGTTAGTAACTTGATTGTTAAATGAATCTGGCTTCCGCATTGAGTTTGCTTGTTAGAAGGTCGCAAAAGGGGATCACATGACCCTAGGACACTGCAACCATTATAAATATGAGTCAGTTGCCAAGCATCTGAATTTTGATGACGTGACCATGGGGATGCTGTAACGGTCATTAAGTCTGAACAATTGTCATAAATTGCTTTTTTCAATGCTGTTGTAACTTTGAACAGTCACTAATCAGGGGTAGGCAACCTTGGCTCTTTTATGAGTTGTGGACTTCAACTCCCAGAATTCCTGAGCCAGCCATGCAGAGGAGAAATGGAGAGGTTTCCAAGCTGAGCCATGCGGGCTCAGGAATTCTGGGAGTTGAAGTCCACGAGTCATAAAAGAGCCAAGGTTGCCTATCCCTACACTAAATGAAAGTTATAAGTCGAGACTATCTCTGCCATTACAAATAGCTGTCCAAGGTACTTTGAGTATAGTTTGGTAATAATATTAACTGTTATAGTTAGAGTGCATCTTCAAATGTGTTCTGATGGACTGATCGATCATGTACCATCAAGTCATTTTCGACCCCTAGCAACTACATAGATTTTTTTCCATGATAATGTATCCCTAGTAGGAGGCATTAAATGAGCACACACAACAGAAGTTTAATTGTGGTCAGAACCATTCAATAATGGAACAGAGTTGCATTTGATGCATCAGTAGTCCCAGTCCATACTCGACCTCCTTGATCAGCCACAAGATATTTGTTGTTGGAAGCTTTGATTACAAGACAGCTGGAGGATACAAACTGGAGGCTGAAATTGCCAGGACGGTCACTGGTTACCAGGATTTGCCCATCTTTATCCAAGGCCCAATATTTGCTACCTGGCAGAGTTAGTGGAAGGAAGGTCTAAAATTAGGAAAGGCAGACAAACAAAGCTGCTCCACTTTCTTGATTTTTAAGGGTGTTCTGATAATTAAAGGAATCATAGGTTGTAGCCATGTTTCTTGTAAGTGCCAAGTTTAAAAAGATAAGTGGGCAACCTTTTTGACCCCAAGGGCCTCATCTCTTTCTAGATTGGGAACTACACACACCCATCCTTACCAAGATCTTGCTTTTTACAGGAACACCATGCCACCTTTAGTAATCTTATGCAAGATTACTAAAGAGTTTGGGAAGCACAATTGGTTTCTCCTCCTCACCAGCAAGTTGGCTGTAGCTTGCTAGTTTTGCACTGCCATGACACCAGCTATAGGAAATCTTAAAAGTTTGCTGAAAAAAGAGGAAGCGGCGAGGGAGAACTCTTCTGCTCCCAGGAATCCGGGTTTAAGAACATTGCTGGTACAGTAGGAAAGTAGTATTCTCAGCATCTTATCCCAAAGGGGCTTTTCAGAAGGCACCTGGACTTTCTTGTTTTTTTCCTTGAAAATGTTTCACTTCCCATCCAAGAAGTTTCTTCAGTTCTTCAGTTATGAGAACTGGGGATGTGTTATGGCCTTGATTCCATTTATCTCTATGGATCTTCCTTCCGTCACCTGGGCAGGCTAGAGGGGTGTCTGTGCGTGAAAGTGTAGTACTGCATGCCAGGTTTCCCTCATAATGCATATAATCTGGGGGGGGTCTCTGTTTATTTATTTTATTTATTTAAAATAAATAATAAGCTTAAATATAGGGCGGGAAGAGGAACGCCTGAGTCCCGCCGACTGTTAGCTAATTTTTGTGGTTATTGTTAATGTTTTAATTTTAATTAATTTTACTTTATAAATTTATAACAGACTAATTTTATACTAATTTTGGGGAGATTTATGGGGAGAATTTTTAACGGGATCCGGTCAGGGGCTTGTTGAAATAGCCATGTCTTGAGGGCGCGGCGGAAGGAAGGGAGATCAGGGATCACCCTGATCTCTGGGGGCAGTTCGTTCCAGAGGGTGGGAGCTCCCACAGAGAAGGCCCTCCCCCTTGGGGTCGCCAGCCGGCACTGTCTGGCCGACGGCACCCTGAGGAGACCCACCCTGTGGGAGCGTACTGGCCGATGGGAGGTAATCTGTGGCAGAAGGCGGTCTCGAAGGTAAATAAGCTCAATCAGACTACAATATACTTACTGATTTGGAAATTATAGTAGCCTTCCTCACTGAGTGACAGGCTGCTGAGCACGTAGTCAACACAGTTCCCTTCCAACCGCCTCATGTCAGAACTCAGACCAACATAACCAGCATCACTGTGCAGGATCAGTAGAGGCCGGTTCACCAGGACTAGCAAGAAATCTTCACTTTTACCTGTAAGTGCAATATAATCCTCTTGATAGTGTTCATCTTGGGCTGCAACCACCTGCTGATGTTTGTTAAAATGCCTTTTACCCACCAGATAAAAATTCCCAAAGTACCCAGAATGAGTATCCTAGGAAAGTTGGCTGTTGGGACTATTTCGTTTGATAGTTCCTTCCCCTGGTCTTAACTAACACCAACCACAATAGTGACACTGGCCTAGAAATCCTTTCATCATTGGGTGTTCACATTTCAAAGGCCCTTGTTCCCAGGTGTATCATCATAATTACTTTTATATATCTAGTGCACTTGCTCTATTAAATTCATTGTCAAGCAATAACTTGAAAGGCGTTTCTGCTAGAAGTAGCCAAACATAGTTTGTGGGGGAGAGGGGGGCAATGTCATACCCAAAGGCCAGCAGGCGTCTTGTAACCTGCTCCAAGAACAAAGAAGGAACCTCTTAGAGACCCAACTCCTACTGTTTCACCTAGGCCACTCCATGAAAAAAGCACGGGGCTTGGTGTCCTGTGCTACTTTTAAATCTAAGATCAACCTGGGATTGCGATCTATGAACTTGGTTGACTTAATGGAGTTAAGAGAGGGAAAGGAATGTCGCTGCTGCTTATTAACAATAGCAATCAATAGTTTAAAAAGAGCTCTCATTTTATAAGCTCAGCCCTAATATTGATTTTCAGTGGGCCACCTGTGATTTCTTTTCCATGATTTGCCCATGTTTTAATACTGCCCTCGGTGAAGCCATGTAATTGCAATGAAAGCTACTGACCAACGTATACCTGCAGCTTTGGGGATTGCCAGGAGCTGCCCGTTGGGCCGCATAGACACATACTTGTCTCCCATGTGGAGCAACACCTTCTGATCCTGATACTGGAGTTCAAACCAAACATTTTTGTCCTGTTTGGTGCTGCTAATGATACAGTCATTGGGTCCCTGTAGGAGAAAAGAGTATATTTACTGGAAAGGACTCAGTCATTCTGCCGTACCCAATCTTGAAAAAAACATTCCTAACCCTGAGATTGAAACTTAAGTTTCAATCCTTGCTATATGGCTCTGCATTAAAAATGCTGGTTTTATATGTTAGCCTGTCTCTATATAGGCCATGACCCAGCCCCAAATTCAAACTTAGGTGGAGCAGTCAGGATCAGAAAAAGGAAAGGAGGCGAGATTGTCGTGCAGGAATACAAGCTAATTTGAGGGCTAATCCACATAGAGCTCCATTTCCATCTGTCCTGTTTGCCATCGTTCGCTCCCTAGAGACTAAAATGGACGATCTGAAACTTGAGCTGGCCACGAACAAGGAGTGTATATCGGAGGTGGTGACCCTTTGAGAGCTGTATGCAACGAAATTTCATTTTGATGTATGCTGATTGGTGTACATTCAAAGTGACAATAAAGTTGTTGTTATTATTATAATGGCTGTGTTTGTATCACATTAACTTGCAGTGCATTTGGCTTACTTACTGTGTTGTCCAAATCTAAAAGTTTAGTCTATTTGAGGGTGACTTTAGTCTTGTTTCCATGACCTCATTGCTATCAGGACATGATCTTGTACAGCTTAGCTTCGAGTGTTGTATCAATACACATGATTATTGGGTTTGTACCTTGTGATAATCCATAATGTGGTTTGACAGTTTTTTTAACATGTTACATGAACCCAGAAATTGTGATTTATATTAGTATGTTGCATGATTCCGCCTTTGTGCTACTGTGTAGACACAACACTCATACACATTCTGTGATTACTAACTATAATATATATTAGAACTGTCACTCAAATAATGGTAACATAAGGCACTACTTCCTAGTTTAGTTTCAGTTCTGGATGGAAAGATATTTTAGAGAGAAACTCAAAGTCCTGGTCCTAGGAAAACCTCAATCTGTCAGAGTGACAGATTTTGGAATAAGTATTTATTGCCAGGAAAGACAAAGATTACTAGCCCACAATATAAGTTACTAGCAGCCACATTGCTGTCAGAATGTACTGTAAAGAAGTCAACCCAAAATGCAATCTTAATGGAATTTGTTTACCACTCTTTTAAAATTATGCAATAAAAATTAATTTGATTCTTTGTTCAAACATTACAATATTTTATTTATATTTCACCAGAAATTAGAGAGGGGAAAAAAAAGAATTTCCAACTTAGAAAAGTGGTTGGGTGTGGCAACAAAATCAGTAGATCTTTTGGGGAATTACCTAGATTATTGGGATTAGAGAACCATCAAAGGACATTTGTGCCTATTATGGTGTGCCACATATATTCAAGATACATCTCTTATTTCAGAATTTCTTGAGGTGGTGGAGATCTAGGATGTTTTCAGTTTTTG